CCATGGCTGTGGCCCCAGTTCTTTCTGGGTGGCCCCTGCTGTAGTTCTGCTATGCGCTCTCCCTATTCTGGACTCTGGTGACACCACCCCTTCCCTAGTCCCTCCGGCCCTAGGGGTGGCAGCCCCACGACGTGCTGGTCTCTGGTGCTTGCTTCTTAGTGCATGGCTGTGCCATGCCCTGATGCCTGCCCTGGATGCCTGTGTGGAATGCCCAGAGTGTTCTCGGCAGGGTCCCCGCTGTGATCAGCTCCTCAAGGGCGGTACCTGTGTCACAGACACTTTGGGGTCCTGTCAGTGGCCTCTCGAGGCTCCCAGGGTACCCTGCACTTTCTCATCCCTCGTTGCTCATCCGTTGTGGGTTTGTCTGTGTGCTGCAAAATGCACAGCTGTATTGAGTGCACCAGCCAGCAGCTGAGAGCTCCATGTGCAGGGCCACCATTGTGGTTGAGCACCTGCTGCGCAGTGGAGGGGCAGTACACACTTGTTGAGTGGATGATGAAACTTGGGCAGACCTCAAGTAAAAGCTATTAAATTCAATGTATAAAACTAACATACCCTGGTTCTAAAACTTGACAAAGGTGTGATAACTAATGAAGGCATACGGTATGCCCTGCACAGTTCTAAGCCCAGCACGTCTACATCTGTTACCCCATTAGTCCTTGCAACAATCCTATGAGGTGTAGGTCCTTGTGTCCCCACTTTTCTGAATGAGGAAGCTGAGGCAGGGAGAGTTTAGCCAGGGCTGCATAGCTGGTGAGGGCAGGGGTAGGGGCAGGATGGAACCCAAGGCCGGCTGCCCTCAGAGCCGTTACTCAGCCTGTTGGCCACGTGGTATGCAGGAACACTGTGTCTCACTTCCAGCAGGTGAAGCAGGCGTGGGAATCCCAAGTGAAATGCCAGCACATAGACAGCGGGCGAGGGTGATGTAAGGTGAGGCAGCCTGTCAGCATGATTTGCCACAGCAAATGCTACAGGAGATGTGCAGGGTCCCCAGAGGTGGAACAGGGCAGTTGATGACATTCATCACCTGCTGCTGATTTGAAAACATCATAAATATGAATCAACTAGGAACCCAGAAGATTTCCCTAATACTAGAGAGCAGCCAGCTGTCAGTGGCATTTTCAGTGGAGAGATGCTGGCTGCATTCCCCACAAAGCTGGAGGAATAGTAAACCAAACCAGCTGCGCAATCTATTTGACACTTTTATGGAAGTCTTTATTTTTAAAGAAATAGATAATCAAATAGAAAGGAGAGAATGATGATTACTTAATGACAAAGTCATTGTCAGGCTTAGAAAACCCAGGGGAATCAACTCAAACAATTAGAAATAAGAAGGATCAATAGATAGCTAATTGCACAGTACACATTTGTATATATAAAATGAATAGCTTTTCAAATAAGAGTAATTGTGAAAAACTGACCTCATTCGTAATGACAGTAAAAGTAATAAAATATGCCAGGCTCACTCATGACAAGTGTGCTCCGAATGGGTAAGGTCCTATGTAGGGTCTGCCAGCTGGAGATGCCCAATTCTTGTTCACTTACATACTTTATTCATTTCCTTTAAAATCCTGAGTAACTTAAACACCTGTCCACTTTAAGTTCATCTGGGAAGGTAGCTTGGCAAGAATACCCATGAAGGCCGTGAGAGAGGAGGAGGCAGTCGGCAACTCAGCCAGATGCCCTGGAGGAGAGAGTGCCCCTGCGGAACAAGGGACCTGTTGTGTGAGCAGCACATCCCTAAGCAAAGGGTGAGCGCTCAGCACAAGCAGGGCTGGTCATGCGGGTTTACTCTGGAAAAGATCAGTGTGGGTTCCTTACGTTTTCTTGCCTGTAGCTTCACCACCCAAGAAAAACTACTTGCAGTGTTTCAGTATTAAACATTTCCCTACACAAATGACTTGTTTTTGAAAAATGATAAACATTTGTATCTGCTTTTTGTTCTTAATATGAATATATTTCCTTGTGGTTAAGTATATTAACATATTATCTCTTTCTAAGAGCTATGCTGAACTAACCCTGGCAGGGACTGAGTGACTTAAGCCCCAGTGCCCTCTGATCTCCCACCCTTGGGAGAATTGGGAAAATAGTCACTTACCTCCTGTTCTAGTGAGGATCTCAGTAGAGGAAGCTTACATGACCCCCTGTGGTTATCAGAGGGAGGACCTGAGCTTCGTCTGTGCAGATCCTTTTTCTGGGCACTTGGCTGGCTCTGAACTCTGTCCTGTGGCGGCCACTGCGGTGCTCCTGGTGTGGGGATGGCATGCTGTTTGAGCCAGGCCCAGTGCTGTTGACCTCACCTAATTCTCGTCATGGCACGGCAAGGTGAAAGCAGTGTGGCAATCTCCATTCACCGCAGATCCATGGAAGCTGAGTCACATGGCTGGATCGTCCAGCTCCCAAGCCCGGGCCCTTGACTGCTTTGTGTTTACCTTCATACCCAGATAGGACTCTTCCCTAAAGTCTCCTTCCTTGCTTCCCAGGAGGTTGCTTGGTATTGGGTTTATACTGTTCCTCTCCCCACTCCTACAGGTTCTCTAGCACAAAAAAGCATTTTGGATAACGACTGAAAATATTGAAGCAAAATTTAGTTCAGTGTTGTTACCTTTTTCTATAAGGGTTTGCGGTTGTCCATAGTGAGAAAGGAATTTGATTTTTCTTGTGACTGTTTATTAATTAAATTGGTCATGTTGCATTTGATGCCATGGCGCCCTTTACTAGTGAGGATGCAGGGCTGCATGGACATTCTGAGGACGTGGTGTGGACCCCATTTGTTTGCTCTGGTATGTCTTTAAGCATCCCTAGATAAACATACTTGCTTAGTTAACCCAGGAAGTTTATGATTAACTTTCAGCCATCTTAAATGTTCACGACATAATACCAGGCTTCGGGGTGTACCGTCGGGGGTTCTAGGACAGAACACCCTACCCAGGCCTGGGGGACAGCTCAGCGACTGGGGCTTGGCCCCTCCTCCCCTGGCTGCCCTGTTCTCTCGCAGCCGTTGGCCTGGACCCCTGCATCCTTTCCAGGCTCGTCTTCCAGGTGCAGTCCTTGCTGGAACGGACTCCCTGAGAAGGGGTGTCCAAGCTCATCTGCGGCAGGTTCTCCCCCTCACCCACAGCTGCCCTTCTGCTTACCAAAAAACGGGGAGGCTGTAACTCTCCACCAGACTTCTACCGCAGTGTGTTGCCTTGGAGTGCACACAAAACAGGATATCCTTCCAGAGCACTAAACCCAGGGGCAGGTCCAAATACTGGTTTCAGGGAAGCATCCTGTAGAGTAATACTGACATCAGAACTTGGATGAGCTGGGCTCGCCAGCTTACCCTTCCTGTGCAGAGCTGTGTCTAGGGGTGGATGCTGAGCTGCTCTGCCTGAGGTACATCAGAGAGGGGCCATGGGGCATGGATGGACATCTCTCGTAGAAAGTCCTCACCTTTGCCAGCCCTCTGCTGTTGTCAAAGAATGCATTACTTTTAAGGAAAGAGCCCTATGTATGTAGAAGCATGAGCAGTTCTTTTCAGCTGTTGACTTTTTATCCCTAGACGAGTTGTTAGCTGGGAAGAAAAACACCTTCTGATGCTAAAACAGTACGAATTAGTGGTGGTGTTTCTTCGCAGTGTAACTGGTGTCTGCAGGACTACCTGAGACGCCAAATTAAATGTGTGGATTGAAAAGAGAAATTCCTGTGATTTTTTTTCATGTTGTATGCTAATATAGAAGTTAAAACCAATTTAGCTTGTCATGAGATATTCTAGTTATAGCCTGTCTTTTTCCCTGTTGTAAAAGTAATACAAGTAAATTATGTTAATAAAGATAGAAGAATTTTAGTTACTAACTGGTTTAAGTTAGTACACTGGGAAAGTGTAACCATGTCTAGCGACATTAGTGGAATTATTTCTGATTTTGCACATAATTCTGAATTTTCCCATGATTCGAATGGCACATACATGCTTGCACACATTTTGCAAAGGAATATTAGGATTCGGTCATATCTCTTGCTTTATAGGTAACTTAGTGGCCTACATATATGGCATTGAATCATGATAAATGGCTCAGTTTTATCTTGTTTGTGTTATAAAACTTGATAATAAATATTTGATATATATCATTTAAATCTTGCCTGCTTTTAAAAGTAATCTGGAGAGATACACTATTCACTGCCTTCCTTAATTTATTCTACAGTGGTTTTCATAATATTTCTTTTTTTTTTTTTTTTGAGATGGAGTCTCGCTGTGTTGCCTAGGCTGGAGTGCTGTGGCATGATCTCGGCTCACTGCAAGCTCCGCCTCCCCGGTTCATGCCATTCTCCTGCCTCAGCCTCCCGAGTAGCTGGGACTACAGGCACCCGCCACCACGCCTGGCTAATTTTTTGTATTTTTAGTAGAGACGGGGTTTCACCGTGTTAGCCAGGATGGTCTCGATCTTCTGACTTCGTAATCTGCCTGCCTCGGCCTCCCAAAGTGCTGGGATTACAGGCGTGAGCCACCGTACCTGGCCTAGACTAACAACTCTTAACATGCTTAGACATGATACTGACCACACCAACTATGCTAGCAGTACTTAGCATTGACACTACCTGTACTAACTATGCTAAAATATTAAGAAACCATACTGACTGTACTAACTACACTGAAAGGTTAAGCAACCATACTCACCATGCTAACTATGTTAAAATACTAAGCAATGATACTGACTGTACATTTATGCTAAGATGCTAAGCAACACTACTGTTGCTTGTGTCTGATTACCATACCATCTGGCAAAAAAATGTATGATGTTTTTACATTTTTAAAATCAAAATCCTGGTGTTTTTTTTGTTTGTATGGTTGGTTGTTTCAACCTCTTAACTCTTGGTTTTTTCTGTTGAGTGATTTTACGTCTCTTAGATGTGCAGAATGACGATTAATGGAAAGGCTGTCTTCCCCATAGACCTCGGTGAGGGCGGACCTGACTTGTAGATTGTAGATTGGGTGTGCTCGTTTTTATATTTCATTTTAGGCACCTCACAGTCTACTCAGAGAAAAATAAAAGAAGGCAAAATGAGTCCTCCCCATTTCCACGCAAGCCAGAGCAGTTGGTTGTGTGGGAGCCTTGTGGTGCCCAGCGGAGGACAGCCAGGACCAGCTCCACCTGCTGGGGTGCAGTGCGGGGCGCAGGGCGTCCAGGTCCAGCTGGTGCAGGTGAGAGCTGGCGAGTCACACAGGCCAGCTGTAGGTGGGGTGGGAGGGTCACACAGGTCTGAGAAGTGTGCAGCATGCCGCAACCCCTGCCCATCACAGCACCCCCTGCCTGCCGCTTGCCCATCCTCCCCTGTAGACTGCCCCAAGTCCTGTCTCCTCACGGCCCGGCTCCTCCCTTTTTCCCAGCCTGTCCTGCTGCATCTGCTTAAGCTCTGGGTGTTGCTGGGACCGTGCATCCACTTCCTGACCCTGTCTGTGCACAGCCCTGTGTCTAGCCCCAGTGTAGCCTGCCTCCCTGCCCGAGGCCCCCAGGGCTGTTTTGCAGCAGGGTGAGATCTGTTTGAGGCCACCCTGCCCTTCTTCTGCAGGGCTGGGGCAAAGGGGCTCTGCAGGCCGCCTCAGCCACCCCATTTCTAGGGCGGCCTGCTTGTGGTGGACTAGCAGCCTTTCTATGCTGAAGGTGGTGGGGGTCTTTTCAGTGTTGTTCTATTTTCTTTCCTATGAAACGGAGCCCCTCCAGGGCAGGCCCAGGCCCCTCCCAGCCTGTCTGGGCCACAGATACCTGCAGCTGTGGCCAGTTTCCAGGTTTTTGAGGACACCCGCTCCAGCAGCCCTGAGCACACCTGCATCTTCAGTCTCAGTTTGAGGGGCTGGAATGGGGAGGAAAGATGATTTGGAAGGATTTGGGGAGAGAAGAGATATACAAGCCGGGGCTGTCTGGGTGTGGCCCAGGTGTGTGCCCCCTTCACCACTCCACTCTGTAGATTCCCTGTGGCAGAGGATGCGATTGCAGGCCCCACGGAAGTGCGGAGGGTGGAGCTGACGCTGGCTCTGAGTTGGGAAACAGGCACGCTGTGGGTTCATAGTCCTGGGAGAGGCTTAGCAAGGAAACAGGACCAGGTCTGGGGCTCAGAGAGGCAAGAGGAGGGATGGCCTGGGCAGAGGTGGGCTGGGAAGGGGGCAGGGAGGAGGCTGCAGGCAGCTGGGGGTAGCCCTGTGCTGATTGGAAGCTAGCGGTGAGCATCAGGTGGGGGCTGAAGCTTGTCTTAGGGATGGGCAAGAAGAGCACTGGTCCTTTCTTTCCAGCTTCTGAAGAGGTAAGAACTCCCCAGGAGCAGGAGCAGTGGAGGGGGAGAACCGTCCAAGGAAACAGTGCCTCAACTGGCAGGGCAGAGGTACAGAGGCAGGACCAGAGGCTTGGCAATAGGGAGATGGTAGGGAAGCTGGCGCCGCTGGCAGAAGAGGAGCAAGTAGGGGGTATACTTTTAAGAGACGCCTGATTAAACCTAGGTTTGAGTTCTTTTTCTGTCCCTTACTAGCTAGTGTAGTTCTGGTTACTTAAGCACTCCAGGCCTCAGTTTTGTCATCTATGAAGTGGGAACAGTAGTGCAGTCCTTGACACACAGGAGCTTCTCAAGCAGAAGGAATGAGAGGTACACGGCAGCAGCACCAGGAGCTCTGCTTCGGGGTGTGAATGGCCATGGGTGGACATGCAGGTGCAGGACAGGTGAAGTGTGGGACAGATGAAGTTTCTAGCCTGGACTGTGAGGGGCCTGACAGCCTCCCCTCCCAGGAGCCCCTCCACCTGCCCTGGTCCTTCCAGCTGGCCTGTAGGCAAGCTGGGGCATGCAGGGAAGGCCCTCTCTGGGGCCCGAGGATTTGCTGGAGAGCACTGTGGGTACTCGTGGTTGGTAGGGGTGCAGGGGTTGCCCGGGCACCCACAGGGAGTTGAGGAACGTGCCTTAGGAGGGAAATCGGTATTTGGGCTGACTGAGGAGAGGAGCTGGACAGCAGAAGGTTCCAGGCCCAGCAAAAGGGATCCCAGGCCCACCTGCTGGGATCAAGGTGAGAGAATAAGCACCAGGTGGGAACAGGTAGTACCCAGACCCCATAAACAATTCCTGCTGGGTCCTCAGGCCTCCCTTGGAATACAGAGGGTGGGCTGGTTCTGCCACGCATTGCAGTTGGAGGAGACTTCTCGGGTGAGGCGAGGACTGTTGCTGCACTCACAGACATGTGACAGGCCTTTCTGTGTTGCCTCCCCAGGATGACCCCTCCGGCGAAGGTGTCCTGCCCTCAACCCGCGGCCCAGCCGCCTTCCTCCCCTTCCTCACTGTGGACCTGCCCGTCTACGTCCTCCAGGTCTGGATGGCTTACTGCCCTTTGTTTTTCTTACTGAGACTCACAGAGCCTTCGACTTCCAGAAGGCTGGCTTCACAGCTGAGGCTGGTCACTGAGGCCGCGTGGCTTGGAAGGCTCAGTGAGTTGGTTGCCAGGATGTCTTGCTGCCTTCTGGAGAAGGTGGGTGAGTGGAGCTCAGATCTGCAGGACACTGCAGCTCCTGCTGGTAAACAAAGCAGGAGAAGTTAATACGCTCTTGAAAGTGCTATGCCTAGGAATTCCAGTTACTGCTCTGGGAAGAGGGCTGGCCAGGGCCCAGCCTGTGGGAGAATAGACTCAGATGAATTCACTAGTTTGCTTACATGGTTAAGCTAAGGATGGGTGGCAGTGAATGATTCAGAGTTTGATATGAAATACCGAAAGTGTATAGCTTACCACATTTCTAACAATTTGCCTTACATGTTTATATATTTACAATAAGCCATGCAGATTGTGTTTTAGTTTTTTTTTGCAAATTGGGCTACTCAGCATTTTCCTCGCAATGAGAACCAAACTTGGACAGAAGCACTGGTGGGAGCAGAGGGCCGGGCAGCACCCGGGCTGCAGAGGGGTGAACTGGAGGGCGGTTTGGCAGCATGAATCAGAGAACTTCAGAAGTGTCTGCTCCATGTGCCTGGCAGCCCCCTCCTGAGACTGCTCCTGAAAAAAAAAGTAGTGGGATAATCACCGTAGCCCGGAGTCGAATGGTGCAGCAGCAGAAACACTTCTAACACGAGGAGACAGGCTAGATGGGGCCTCCATAGCCCTGGGCCACATGCCGGTCAGCTGTGAGGGCGCAGGCAGACACCTAATACCTGGGAGAGTGCCTTAGGAGGGACCGCATGAGAAGTGGGGAGAAAGGGTTGCCGAAGTAAAGATGATTTTGTTTCTGTAAAAAGGCATGCGGGTGTGTGAACATGTGAGGTATACGTCAGTGTGCAGACAGAGCAATCTTGAAAAATCTACAGTACAGTATTGAGTTCATTTTTCCATCAAAGAACATGTGTTTAGAATAAGGGGAGCCTGTAGTTTTGATTAAGAGAAGTCAGGTATCTCACCACAAGCCCGGTCAGTTGCCTGCTGTGTGGAGCCACGGGATCCCTCTGCTTCCCCTCCCTCCTCCCTCCTCATGACAATGCTTGGTTTTGCAGGAGGTGCTCCCCTCATCTGGAGGCCCTTCTGGACCGGAGGCCACCCAGTTCCCAGGAAGCACTATCAACCTGCAGGACCTGCAGTGATGGCAGCCTCGGCCTGGGCAGGCCCAAGGCCACGGTCTAGGACTCACCTTCCCTGAGAGTCAGATGACATGAGCCTGGGGAGACCTCATTTGGTTTCCATTCAGAAGACCAGCATAGCCCTTTTGAGACTTTTGGGTACATTTATCAAAATGTTTTCCTTTTGTTTTACCAGGAACGAGTTTGGGCTGTACTCTTTGAAACTGCCTTTGTGAGCAATGTGCTTTGGCAAGACAAGGGTCTCCTTCAGCAGGGCTGGGTGCACAACAGCCCCTTTCCCCGTGTCCCATTGATCTGAGCTGTGTAGCACTTGTTGCATTACAAGGAAAAAGACTTCTGCAGGAAATAGGGTAGAGAACAGGCTCTGTAGTCAGATGCAACTTGATCTGTGGCAAAACCAAGTGGGGTCTTTCAGCTTCAGTGTGTGAGCATCCCAGCACCTGGGATGGGGTTTGTGGGAAAGTTGGTTTTGCCACACTGTAGGACCCAGGAGGTCCCATTGCCACAGTGAAGCCAAATTCTAGCCCAAGTCTGGCAGAGCAGTTGGGCAGCTAGCTTTTTGGGGAGAATGATGTGGTGGGACAGAGGACCTCAGTGGCCTATTACAGAGCCCTCTTTCCCAGACTAAATTCATAGCTGAGAGCTTGGGGGTATAGTAGAGTTAAAATTTTAAGTAATTTTCTAAACTCTGTATTTGGGTATTAATGTCTAAATGGTAATTTGACAATAGTTTATAAAGTGATGTTTTGAATACCATAAATTACGTGTAGGACTGTGATGGTGCATTTATGTTTTATTATTGAGGTTGATGTGCACATAATACGTCAATGTATGTTTTTATAGAGTGAGGTCTGTCTTGCAAAAGGAGACAACATGATCACCTTGCCTTTGTTTATTTGTAAGTCTGTTAACTTAGCAATAACACAGGGTCACTCCTAAACGATTTTTTTTTTTTTTTGCCTTGTGCCTTTTGAAGTGTGTGTTCATTCAGAGGCTGTTTTGGTTCCCAGACTGAATCATTCAAACTGCCGTGTTTGTTTCTTGAATTTGGGGGTGACACCAAGTTTGAGTGAGTCCTCCCTCTGTCTTGTCCCACTCCGAGGTGCTGTCCCCAGGTGCTGTTCCACATGGAAGAATCCACACCCGTCAGCAAGTGGGTCTTCTCCACAGACCACCGCTCTGTCACCAGCTAAAGCCAAGGAGAGAACTTGCCCACCTGGGAGACTCTTCAGCCCCAAGGTGGCCCAGAGTCCTCCTCCTCCATGGGAGGCTTTTGGCCACTATGGGGGGTGGAGTCGCACCCACCCCGTTTCTATCGGGGAGCAGGATCTGCCCCCAGGAATGCCCTCTCGGCCTCTACTTTTCTCCCATGTGCCTCCCTGGGAACGCCACCATGAAGTGGCTGGGACTGGCACCCAGCATTCTGGACCCTGAGGTTCCCTGCCGGTGACGGGCCCAACTCCTAGTGCAAATGAATGAAAGTTTGCCTCTAGTCATGCACCGAAGGTTTTTCACCTTGGCTTAATTCGAGTAGCTGCATATATGGCGTTCAGCCTGTTGTTTCTCCTCTAGTTGGTAGCGATGGCCCTGCCATATACCCAGCTGCCTGCTTGCATTTCTTTGGTCTTTGCACAGAGGCTGATCTCACACTACACTCAGCGTGAAATTAGCTTTTGTCTCGTAGAGCAGCTGTTTTAGATGAGAACCAAGGTGTCATGCTCTTGCCCTCAAGCATCTGCTTAGGGTTAGATGATGAACCGGGGGGATGCTGAGATTTGGCAATGGTGGCTGCGTCCTTAAACAGGCCTTCAAGACTCCAAAAAGACATGAATTTATTCAGGTGAGGAAGGGAGCACACAGGAGGCAGAGAAGACTCAGTTGGGTCATTCAAGACCCAGCCCAGACTCTGCCAACATCTTTGCTAAGCCTTCAGCTAGAACAGCTATGGTCTGCGAAGATTACGTAAAGAAAAATAGCAGCTCCTCCTTCTCCTTGTCCATCAGTGTGTGCTCAGACTCTTGTTTGATCCTGTGGACTGGGGGTTGTGAGCGGCATACCAATGTCCTGCCTCTCTGCAGGGGAAACAAGCCCAGTGAGCCGTACGCCCATGTACCCCTGCCCCTGGTGCAGGGAGAGGCCCAGCAGCTCCAGTCAGCTCCAGCCCACTCTGGGCAGCCCTGCAGGCTGAGGGCTGGAGTTAACTCTGAAATAGCTGGGGATGTGAGTCTGCCTGGCATTTATCAAGTCTGGTCCCTGGATCACCACCTCTTAAATGTGGGAGCAGGGGGACCCGCTTCCTGTTGCCAGGGTCAGAAGGCAGGAAGGGCGGAGGCCTTGGGACACAGCAGTAGGGGGACCCCAGTGACAGGCAGTGAGCAGGGCTTGGGGTCTGGCCGGAGTGTGGGTAGGGTGGTGGGACCCTGTTCCTGAGCAGAGTGTACCTGGCTGGGGTGGGTGGGCATGGCTGAACCAGTCTCAGCCTGGCATGGGCCATGAGCTGGCAGCCTGGGGAAGAGCCCCCTGCAGGAAGCGGGTCCTGGGAGAGCCTTGCTCTGAAGGCAGGCTGTCTCCCTCAGAGCCTCAGTGAATGCCTTCAGAGTGGGGGCATTGGGGGCTTGGGCTGCAGGACCTCAGCTGCCATGCTGTCTTGGGACCCCCTCCAGCAGAGACCCCTGGGGCGACCCTGCCTACCTTCTTCTTTATCTCAGCCTGGGCACGCGCCCGGGCCCGCTGCAGACGCTCCTCCTGTAGGATCTTTTGCATCTGGAGCTTCTCTTCTCGAAGTCTGGGCAGCAAGAAATGACGTTGAAAACTGGGGGGACCTGGGAGTTGTTGTGTAATCTCCACACGGAGTCCCCAGGCCAGGCCGTGTCCTCCCTCAAGAAAACTCCCAGCTCCTCTTCACCTCTTTTGCCAGGTCAAGGCCTCAATACCTATCCACAGCCAAAGCACCACTGCTTCTGGCCAAGGTGGGCTAGGCGCACAGGAGGACAGCCAGGGCCCTGCTGTTCCAAGGCCCTGGCTCTGGCCTCCTGCAAGGGCTGATCTAAGGTTCATCCAGCAGACCTCTCCCAGAGGCACATTTCCCTGAATCTACACCCATGGCCTGATCCGTGCACCTGTGGCCTCCCTTGCCACCGTGAAGGTCCAGCATCCCCCTGGAGCAAGAGTCATGTCTCCGTCTTGTGTATACTCTCAGTCGTCAAAGCCTGGTCTGGTACCCACTCCGAGCAGGGCACCAGGGACCCGGAGGAGAAGCCCCTGTGCTTGTGGGGGACAGATGGATGTTTGCAGATTGTGCTGTCTCAGGGCCCTGCACGGGGTGGATGAACCGGGCTGCCCACAGGCCAGGGAAGCCATGACCCCCATCTACCTTGGGTCCAGGCTGGTGTCCCGACAGATGACAAGCTGCCGCCCATCTGCCCCCCTGCACTCCCCTCCGAGCTGAAACTCCCAAGGCTCTCTGAGCCTCTGCACTTCGTCTTCCGCTCCAGCAACACTGCTGTAGCCATGCCTTCCCTCTCGGGTGCTGGCAGCTGCCCTTGCCCTCAGCCTCCAGCCCCTCCAGTCCAGCCCCAGAGGGAAGAATCTAACCACGCCCTACCTGGCCATGTTTGCCCCACTGCTTAAAGCCCTCCATTACTATTCCATGTCTTTGAGGCTGGCCATGATAGCCACACTCTAACTGAGCTCCACCTCTTCTGTCTTCTAGACCTTGTCCCTCCCTGAGCCTCCTGGCCACATCGAATCATTGTCCTTTGCTCTAGGGAGCTTTCCCTGACCACCCCCTAGTTGAGTGTGATACCCCTCTAGATCCCCCCAAGACCTGGGCTTTTGTCTCATAGCATGGAGCATGAGGGGCCTGTCTCTTGGGAGCGCTTTGAGGGCAGGGCCTATACATGCCCTCTGCCCTCAGGGCCAGTCCGGACACAGCAGCTGGCAGGGAGGGCCTAGAGCTCACCTGATGCGCCGCTCCTTCTCCTTTGCCCTCTCGGCCTGCTCGATCTTGACCTGGGGCACGCGCTCCAGGTTCTCTAGCAGCTCATCCAGCTGGTGCTCAATGATGGTCAGCATCTGCACAGTGCCCAGGTTGGCCTCCTGCTGGGTGCCGATGCAGTTCCGATACACGTCCAGCACCTTCCAGTTCAGGCTCTCTAGCAGCTTATCCTGTGGAGTCGGCGGCTTCCAGCAGAGTGCTGGCAGGCCGAAACCCACCCCCATGCTAGTGCCTTCAGCGGTGGCCTGCTGACCTCCCAGGGTGGGGGCCTCCCACCGCTTGGCACACACTGGGAGCTCTGAGAACATAGGCTGAACCAGAACTTGGGAATCTGTCTTGTCTTGGCCAGAGCAGCCTATCCCTTGGGCCCCCTGGAGTCAGCCAGATCCCTGGTTCCAGCCCCTCCCCTAGTTGCCTTTGGTACACCAACAGGGCCCAGTCCCCTCCTCCAGGGAGCCCTGTACCCTGAGCACCCCACAGGGCCATGTCTTCTCTGAGACTGTTCTGACACTTAGAAAACAGATAACAGCGCCTCCATGTGGGCTGTATGAGGAGAGAGGAGCAGCAGGCAGGCAGCTCAGCCCAGCCTGGGCACAGCTAGTGCCCATGGACTCTGGCTGTATCAGAGGAGTGCTTTCTTGCTCATGGCTGCGTCCCACACCCTTGGCCCAGTGCCTGGCACACAGCAGGCACTTGACAGTAGGAAGCCGCCCCATGCCCAGGGTGGCCCCAGGTGTGCTGTCAGGTTGGGAGCGGGCTGAGCCCTTGGCTGGGTCCTGGCTTCTGCTCAGAACACCACTGGCTTTCTCTTGTCTCCGAATTCTCTCACCCTTTCAGACTGGCTTGGGGACACGCCTCTTCCCCGCCTTCAGGATCACTTTGCCAGGCACAATTTATGTGTTTAAGAAGCAGACACATTTGTTGAATAAAAGAATGAAGCAATGAATGAGGCATGGGGACAACCAAGCTGGCTGGCACAGGCATCGATACATGTGGTGGCTCCTGGAGGCAGGCAGGGCAAGGGCAGCTGCAGGGCACTTACCCAGGCCTTGCCCTCCATCTTCCCAAGGCCTGTCAGGGCTCCTCCAGTGGGTGCCCAAGGGTCCCTCCTTCCCCTGGGCCTCTGGCCACCTTGATCCCCAGCCTACCTGCTGATCACCCTTGTACTCGCCGAAGTGGAAGACTCGGGCTTTGAGCTCTAGCTCAGCTGCTGTGTCCTCCTCCTTGGTGATGGACATCATCATCGTGCTGACCCACTGCTTCAGCTGGTTGACCTCCCTGTCCCTGGAGGAGGGAGAAACCGGCAGGGCATCAGTCACTCAGCGCAGCCCTGGGCACATCGCTTCTCTGAGCCTGACCGTCTGTACAGTGCTTTGCCCCTACCAGCTGTCCTGAGGGCTGAAGGATCATGGGTGCCAAGTCTCTGCATGCCCAGGGGGTCAGAAATGCTGGCAGAATGTAGGGGAAAACTTAAAATATTTAACGGTCAACATTAAAGAAAATAAACAGCTTCTTTGAGGCATAATTCACAGACAATAAAATTAGCATAACCATCATAAAGTATACAAGTCAGTAGTTTTTTTGTATATTCAAGGAGTTTACACAACCATCACCATAATCTAATTTTAGAACATTTTCATCACTCCATGCCCATTAACAGTCACTCCTCATTGTCTCCTCTATCCTTTGGTCGTTTTTTGTTTTTTTTTTTTTTTTTTTTTGAGACGGAGTCTCGTTCTGTCGCCCAGGCTGGAGTGCAGTGGCTGGATCTCAGCTCACTGCAAGCTCCGCCTCCCGGGTTTATGCCATTCTCCTGCCTCAGCCTCCCGAGTAGCCGGGACTACAGGCGCCCACCACCACGCCCGGCTAGTTTTTTTGTATTTTAGAGACGGGGTTTCACCGTGTTAGCCAGGATGGTCTTGATCTCCTGACCTCGTGATCTGCCCGTCTCGGCCCCCCAAAGTGCTGGGATTACAGGCTTGAGCCACTGCGCCCGGCCTATCCTTTGGTCTTAAGCCACCATTAATCTAACTTTGTGTCTACCCTGAACACTTCATAAAAATGGAGTCACACATGTTTTCTTTTGTGACTGGCTGCTTTCACCCAGTATATTTTCAAGGTCCATCCATGTTGCAGCATGTGTCAGCACTTCATTTCTTTTTGTGACTGAGTAATCTTCCATTGCATACGTAGGCCACACTTTGTCGATCCATTCATCCATTGATGGGCATTTGGGTTGTTTCCACCTTTTGGCTCTTGGGAATATTGCTGCTATGAACATTCACGTACAGGTTTTTGTGAGGACATGTTCTCAGTTCTCTCGAATATGTATCTAGGAGTAGAATTTCAACATTCACCTTTCAAGTGAAATAAGAAACAGATGCACAAGGGACATGCTGCTCAGAGTTGGGCCTCAGACCAACTTGGGCATCACCTGAAAGTGTCAGAAATGCAGAGTCTTAGACCTTGACCCATAGCTATTGAATCAGAAACTTCATTTTAAGATCCCTGGGGGATTCAAGTGCACATAAAGTCTGAGAAGCACTTCACTATAGGGAACGTGATCTGGTTTCTTCAACAAATGGATGGCAAGGGGGAAAACAGAAAGGAAACCTATAGATTGATTTTATAGATAGAAGAATTTAACAATACAACCAGAGGAATAGCATCAGCAAGATGGTGGAGTAGGGGGTCCTCAGCTCTTGTCCCCCCACAGAAACACTAATTTGACAACCATCCATGGATGAAAATGTCTTTGTCAGAGCTCCAGAATTCAAGGGAGAGGTTATAGCACCCAGTTTATGCACCCAGTGGTGCATAAAAACAGAGAAAAGCCATAGAGAGTGAGAGAATAATTTCACTCTGCCTATGTCACCTCTCTCCCAGGCCATGGCAGTGCTGAAAGAGATCTCACTGGCCTGCAGTTTCTCATGTTGGGGGAAGGAGAAAGCAAGGTGGAACCCCAGGTTTCCATGCATTTTGGGGTACTTCCCAAGAGGCCCATTTCTGTCTCATCTCTGCCAGAGCCCTGGTGTAACTGTCATGGATGGATCACCTAGGGGGGCAGCTAGGAACAAATAAAAGGCACGGGGCCTGATAGCACCCAATGTGCAGACCTCACCTGTCTGTAGACCCACCACAGCATGCCCCACCCACCTTGGACCCTGGCAGTAGGCCCTGCCCACAGACCCCACCAGCCAGCACATGGAGAATCTCTGGCTGAGCTGTCTGGCTTTCTCCTTTGGCTTTCCCTGCTGAAGCCAGTCCCTAATGACTGAAAGAAGCAACTCCTCCTTCAAATGTGCAGATAGCAATGCAAGGCCACAAGAATCATGAAAAATCAGGGAAACATGACACCACAAAAGGAACCTGATAAGTCTCCAGTTATTGACCCTCAAGAAATAAAGATCTACAATCTGCCTGAAAAAGAATTCAAAACAATTGTCTTATAGACTCCCAGTGAACTGTAAGACAACATAGATAGGCAACTAAACAAAATCAGGAAAACTGTAAGTTCAACAAAGAAATAGAAACCATAAAAAAAACCCCAGAAATTATTGAGCTAAGAATGCAATGACTGAACTAAAAATTTCAATAGAGAGCTGTAACAGCAGACTAGATCAAGCGTAAGAAAGAATCAGGGAACTCAGAGATAAGTCATATGAAATTAGCGAGTTAGAGGAGCAAAAGGGCAAAAAAATGAAAAAGAGAAAAAAGCTTATGGGACTTACAGATATCATCAACTGAAACAGTATATGCATTATAAGAGTTCAAGGAGAAGGAGAGAAAGGGCAAAGTATTTTTTAATTTTATTTTTATTGATACATAATAGATGTACATTTTTTTGGAGTACCTGTGGTAATACATTCATATAATTTGTAAAGATCAAATCCGTGTAATTGAGATGTCCATCACTTTAAATATTTGTCTTTCTACTAAAAACATTCGAATTATTCTAGCTATTTTGAAGTATACAATAGATTACTTTAGACTACAGTCATGCTACTAATGTATCAAACACTAAATCTTATTTCTTCTATCCAACTTTATATTTGTACCCAATAATCAAGAGAACTTAAAGAAATAATGGCTGAAATGTTCCCATGTCTGGAGAGGGAAATGGATATCCAGATTCATGAAGCCTAAAGATTCCCAAGTAAGTAGAACCTAAGAGATCTACTTTGGGGACATATTATAATTAAATTATCAAGAGTCAAAGATAAAAAGAATTTTGATAGCAAGAGAAAAGTGACTTGTCATGTACAACAGAACTGCTATAAGATTATCAGTATATTTCGCAGCAGAAGTCTTGCAGGTCAGGAGAAAACGGGTTGATATATTTAAAGTACTGAAAGAAAAAAATGGCTAAAAGGTATACTATATGCAGCAAAACTATCCTTTAAAAATAAAGAAGAGATAAAGACTTTCCCAAACAAAACCTGAATGAGGTGGTCACCCACAATACTTGCCTTAGAGAAGTGCTAAAGAGAGTTTTACAAGTTGAAACAAAAAGTTACTAAATAGCAACACAAAAGCATGCAGAAGTATACATCTCACTGGTAAAGGTTACATCACAAAAAATGGTTACATTCAGAGGTTTTTGTATGCAATTGAAGTAAATTTGTTATCAGCTTGAAATAGACTATTATAAGATGCTCAGTGTAAGTCTCATGAAAGTAACTACAAAAAAAACCTGTAGTAGATACATAAGAAGATAAAAAGAATCAAAGCAGATCACTGAAAAAAAAAAAACCCAAAAGAAAGCAGAAGAGGAGGAACAAGAGAGCTATGAAACAGACAGAAAAAATGAACAAAATGGCAACGGTAATATCAGACAAAATAGACTTTAAGTCAAAAACTGTCACAAGAGGCAGAGAAAAGAAGATTCACATAAAGTCAGAAATTAAAGAAGAGACATTACAGTTGATGCACAGAAAGAAAAAGGAACATAAGGAACTATTAGACAATCCAGGAAAAAAAAAAAAAAAAAAAACAGATAAATTCCTAGAAACGTACAACCTACCAAGACTGAATCAAGAAGAAATAGTCTTAACAGATCAATAACAAATAGGGAGATTGACGTAGTAATCAAAACACTCCTAACAAATAAAAGCACAGGACCTCATGGTGTCATGGGTGACTTCTGCCAAACATTTAAGGAATTAACAGTAATCCTTTCCTTTTTTTTTTTTTTTTTTTTTTTTTTTTTTTTGAGACAGAGTCTCACTCTGTCACCCAGGCTGGAGTGCAGTGGCACGATCTCGGCTCACTGCAAGCTCCGCCTCCCGGGTTCACGCCATTCTCCTGCCTCAGCCTCCCGTGTAGCTGGGACTACAGGCGCCCGCCACCACACCTGGCTAAGTTTTTGTATTTTTAGTAGAGACAGGGTTTCACCGTGTTAGCCAGGATGGTCTCAATCTCCTGACCTTGTGATTTGCCTGCCTTGTCCTCCCAAAGTGTTGGGATTATAGGCGTGAGCCACCATGCCCGGCCTTTGTTTTTTGTTTTTTGTTTTTTTTGTTTTTTTTTTTGTTGTTGTTGTTGTTTTTGACAGAGACTCACTCTGTCACCCAGGCTGGAGTGCAGTGGCACAATCTTGGCTCACTGCAGCCTCCGCCTCCTGGATTCAAGCAATTCTCCTGCTTTAGTCTCCCAAGTAGCTGGGACTACAGGCATGCACAACCACGCCTGGCTCATTTTTTGTATGTTTAGTAAAGACGGTTTCACCATGTTGGCCAGGCTGGTCTCGAACTCCTGACCTCAGATGATCCACCCACCTCGACCTCCCAAATTGCTGGGATTACAGGTGTGAGCCACTGCACCCAGCCAGCAATCCTTTCTAAACTCTTCCCAGAAATGGAAGAGGAGGGAACATTTCCAAGCTCATTCTATGAAGCCAGCATCACCTTGATAACAAAGCCAGACAAAGACACCACCAGAAAAGAAAACTTAGGCCAATATCCCCTATGAACATAGATACAAAAATCCTACCGAAACTATCAAGCAGAATTCAACAGTGCATTAAAAGGATCAAACACACATCACCCTCACACATGCATAGCCTCTCCCACTATCAACATCCCCCTCCAGAGTGGCACATTTGATACAATCAATGAACCTACCTGGACACATTATTATCACCCACAGTCCGGACTTTACATGGAGGTTCCCTCTTGGTACTGTATATTCTATGGGTTTGGACAAATGTATTATATAATGATACATATCCACCATTACAGCATCATACACAGTATTTTCATTGCCCTGCAAATGCCTTGTGCTTTCCCTCTCTTCATCCCTCTCTCCCCCTAAGACCCTGGTAACCACTGATTCTTTTAGTTTCTCCACAGTTATGCCTTCTCCAGAATGTCGTAAAGTTGGAATCATACAGTATATACCCTTTCCAGGCTGAGTTCTTTCACTTAGTAATATGCATTTAAGGTTCTTCCATGTCTTGTCATGACCTGATAGCTCATTTCCTTTTAGCACTGAAAAATATTCCATTTTCTGGATGTACCACAGTTTAATGATTAATACTGTCTGGATCTGTGTCCCTGCCCAAACCTCATGTTCAAATATAATCCCCAGTGCTGGAGGTGGGGCCTGATGGGAGGTGATTGGATTATGGGGCAGTTTCTCGTGAATGGTTTAGCACCATCCCTTTGGTACTGTTCTCCTGATAGGAGTGACTTCTCATGAGATCTGGCTGTTTAAAAGTGTGTGACACCTCCCCACTCTCACTCTCTTGCTGCTGCTCCAGCCATGTAATATGGGCCTTCACCTTCTGCTATGACTGTAAGTTCCCTGAGGCCTCTCCAGAAGCTGAGCAGCTGCCAGCATCATGCTTCCTGTACATCATCATATAGCCGGGAGTCACAAATTAAAACAAAATACCACTACACATCTATTGGAATGGCCAGATCCAAAACACTAACAACACCTAATGCTGGCAAGGATTTGAAGCAAGAGGAAGTCTCATTCATTGCTAGTGGGAATGCAAAGTGGTACAGACACCTTGGAAGACAGTTTGCCAATTTCTTACAAAACTAAACATACTTGTACTATATGATCCAGAAATTGTGCTTCCTGGTATTTACCCAAATGAGTTGAAAACCTGCATCCACACACACACAAACATCTGCACATGGATGAGCCATACAGACATGGCGCTGAGGGAAAGAGACCAGACACCAATGAAAACCTACTATACTATTATTATCTTGAAGTTCTAGAACCAGCTACTTTGGTTATCCGTTGCTCCACAACAGGTTACACATAACATGCATTTATTACCTCAGAGTGTACAGTACTTATGTGGGTTAATTGCTAGGCTCTCTATTCTATTCCAATGATCTATTTCACTATTCTTTCACCAGTACACACACCATTTTCATTACTATAGTTTTAGTAAGTCTTGAGGTTGGGTAGTGTCAGTCACCCAGTTTTCTTGTTCATCTTCAGCGCTGTGTTGGCTATTCTGGGTATTTTGACTCTTCATATAAACTCCAGAATCAGTTTGTCAGTAACTACAAAGTAACTTCTTGGATTTTCACTGGGATTGCATTGAAGCTATAGATCAAGTGGGAAGAATGACATCTTGACAATATTGAGCCTTCCTATCCCTGAACATGGAATATCTCTCTATTTATTCTCCTTTGATTCATCAGAGTTTTACGGCTTTCCTCATATAGATCTTGTATGTTTTGTTAGATTTATATTTAAGTACTTCATTTCAGAGGGTGCTAATGTAAATGGTATTATGTGTTTAATTTCGAAGTCCACTTGTGCATTACTGGTATATGAGAAAGCCACTGACTTTTGTTTGTTAATCTTATATCCTGCAACCTTGCTTCTTGCTGTAACAGCTTATTAGTTCCAAGAGCTTTTTGGTTTTAGTATTCATTTATTTATTTATTGAGATGGAGTCTTCCTCTGTTGCCAGGCTGCAGTGCAGTGGTGCGATCTCAGCTCACTGCAACCTCCGCCTCCCGGGTTCAAGTGATTCCCCTGCCTCAGCCTCCCAAGTAGCTGGGATTACAGGCACACGCCACCACTCCCAGTTAATTTTTTGTATTATAGTAGAGACGGGTTTTCACCGTGTTGGCCAAGATGGTCTCGATCTCCTGACCTCGTGGTCTGCCTGCCTCGGCCTCCCAAAGTGCTGGGATTACAGGCATGAGCCATCACACGCAGCCTTTTTTTTTTTTTTTTTTTTT